AGTCAGAATTATTTCTTTCTATTAATTCGATTTCATCTGATTCTAAATTGATATTTTCATTATTTATAAACTCTGGTGTATTTGATTCTAAATTATAATTATTTTCGATCAAATAACCTTTTTGATTTAATTCATTTACTGTAAGTGGCCAGTTTATTAAGCGTAAAGCCCGAAGATTCCAATATATATATACGACTTTTTCTACTTGTGGATTGAGTAAGCGATTTCGTAATTTAGTGTGAATAAAACTAAATGCTGACCAGTTTCGTTCACTTGCAGCGGATGTTGCAGGTATTGAAAGTAACTTTAATACTATATCACTTAATACTGGATATCGTGCTTTAACTAAATTCCACCAATTGCATGGTTTTTCTTTAATAGGACCCCACAAATAGCTGGCTGAAAATCTATTAATTTTTCCTACATATTCGGCAAACTCTTCTAAAATTTGATTCTCATTTTCTGGCCCAGCAAGACGTATTAATTCTCTTTCAATTGGTGAATCCCATTTTTTTGGATCTAGAATTTTACCACAATATCGAGGATCTAGTTTATATGCTACCATAATTGCTGGATTATACAAAAAATCATTCCAGCGATGTTCTACAAGTCGTATACTTTCTACAACAATTGTATTTGGAACACAAGTATTATTACGTACAAATGTTTCTAATTGTCTTAATTTTATAAATGCTACTGATAAAAGTGGAATATCTCTCTCAAGCTCATTAATAATATTAATAAAATTTTCTAAAAAATCACGAAGATTTTTAAGATTTTGCCAAAACTGATCATCCATAATTAAAAGTTTAATATTGTAGTCAATTTCAATGCTATCTTCAGCTAATATAGAACGAATTGCAACTTTTGTTTGTAATAAATGATCCATACAATAAAATGCCGATCCCCACCGTGTATCTACTGTTGATACTAATGAAATAATATGTTCATATTTTTCAATTTGAAGCCGACAAAGTATTGCTAATGGTATTAAATGCAATTGAAAGTAATTAACGATAATTTTAGAATTGTCTAAAATTTTTTTAGCCCAATCCAATTTCAAAATGTCTTTTATCCAAAGATTTATTCCATGAGCCCAACATCCTAAAAATATTTTCATTGGATATTTATTTTTAAGAATACGCCAGGCAGCTTTCATATTTGGTGCATTATCTGTAATTACTGCAATAAAGTTATTAATATCAAGTTCATGCATTATTGTTTCAATTCCTTCTGCAATATTTATTGCTGTATGCTGATTTTCTTTTGTATGTACTGATTTATAGAAAAAAGGTTTAGGAGTAGCAATCATGTAATTAATAATTGAATCTCTACGAATATTAGACCAACCATCTGTAATAAGACAAAAATATTGTGTTTCATTTAATAGTTGACCAACAACAATGTTCATATCAGTATATTCTTTAAAAAGATGTATATTTGAAAGAGATTGCTGTGTAGGTAATTTAAAAAATGGACATGCTTTTGCAAAAAAAGCTTTAATATCACAATTTTCTAATATGTTAAAAGAAACACCACTAGAATAAATTCCACGTGCAAATAAACTTTCTAATTCTTCTTGCATTTCTTTAGTAATATGCAAAGAATTTATTGGTTCGTATGTAGATACTGTTGCTTCTTCTAAAACACATATTTTATAATGTTGTTGCATTCGTGATTCATTTTTAACCCAAGAATTATTGCATTTTTTACATTTCCATCTTTCTTTTCCATTTTCAATCACTTTTTCAAATTCTTCCCAAAATGTTCCTTTTTGCCGTGGCATATCAAATAGAAAATGTTAAAACTAAATGCAATTTAAAATTACTTATTGACCCTATTTTTATAAGATATCAAATATATAATTTACTTTAGCAATAATAGTTTAATAAGTATTACGTAATTTCTTTTATTAAAAAAAAGTTATGTAATAAATAGTATTTCGCAAAAGTATTATCAAGCTATAGCCTAAATTGAGTATAATTTATGCTAAATTTCATAATTTATCTCAAAGTTATTTTGAGCTTATGTAACTTACAAATAATATGTAAGTTACAATAAATTTATATACAGTAAATTACATGTAACTTACATATAATTTAACAACCCTAAATAATAGTTTTGGGACATTTGGAAGTATTATCGAAAGTTCGGAGAGTGACGCTAGTTCATCGGCATTTAACGCCAAAACGCTTGTTATTACTAATTTTCTATTGAAAATAAGATCTAATTCGCTCCATAATAAAGATCAAGCTGGTTCATTGAAAGGTCAGCACCTTCATTCGATTTGATCTTATCCTCATTTCTTTAACGTCAATTCCATATTGAAAATTCCATCCAACACCATCTCGTCCATCAAAGATTCTACCTTTAATTGATACCAAATTCCACACAGATGTCATTTTACCCACGACTCCCTATACCATATTGATGACTGCGTTTACTGATTTTCAGATACCATTCAAATGTCCTATGTTCGCCTTCAGCTGATTTTTGATAACGATGTTTATCTCTTTCGACATCAATTCTATTTCGACAACAATGCCTAACTGCATATGTTACATCAACATTACCCAAATTAGCGGATATTTGATAGCATTCTAAGGATTTGCTTTCATCTTTTTTAACACCATTTCTATTAGTGTCACCCAGCTCAGCCAATTTCACATACCGTTCAACATTCTATCATCCTTAACGACTCCTACTCCATCATTACATCAATTTCCATGGTTATATGTCCCACCATCTTGATCCATCACAGTTTGATCGCTTATTTCTAAATCAGGTAAATTCTTATTTTTCCATTCGTGTTTTTCTCTTCTTTTATCAACATCACTGATCTTGTTTTTATGTTTTACCATCATCACATTCACATCACGTTCAAACGCTTTACATCCATTGATGAGGGTCTTTTGTTGATAAACGAACGCCATATGTCCATCCGTTTCAACTCCAATTTCATGATGAGAGCATTGATCAACATCATATGCTCCTTCGGCGTATTCCACATTAGATTTTTTGATGTTTAATGAACGCCTGATCCTTACAATATCCAACCTCAGGCATTCCACCATCAAGATCTATCTTATCATTTGGGATCGGTACGTCCTTGATTCTATCCCTTGATTCGTTTGATTTATTACCATCCTTTGTACTAACCACATTTTTGACTTCATTGTTTTCACCTTCTACCTCCACCTTCACCATCAACATCGTTCCTTCGCTTGGTCATACGTCTCAGGTCATTTGGAATCGGTACGTCCTTGATTCTATTCCTTGATTCGTTTGATTCTATCCCTTGATTCGTTTGATTCATTACCATCCTTTGTATTAACCACATTTTTGACTTCATTGTTTTCACC